ACTGTTTCATAAAATGACTCCTTCACACCAAGCTTAAATCATCACCATCACATCTTCCTTTTTTGCAGCCCATTAACAATGTGATTTCCATTAACAATGCTACTAGAGAGAGCCACGAGGGAAGGGTTGGGATAATGCAGAGAGAAGGATGGAGAGAAAGGAGTAAACTGCCAGCAGCCCCAGATCCCCATGAGCTTCAGCCAGCAGGACCCACTGAACCAGTACATACAAATACACTACTACATACACACATACACACACACACACACTCCATGCAAAAACATGCTTACACTGACATACACAAACACTGCTCACAATTACAACCCAGTAAGGATGGGAAAATGGTAGTTCTCCAACATTAAGTTGCATGACAGTTAAGGATTTACCTTTTGGTATCACTAGAGGGAACCTAAAAGCCAGCAACCTGCCCAGAAAAGGACTGGCTAGGTCAGCAGCAGCTTGCTTTTCCCAACCCAGTGGCCAGACATCCTCGCCCACCAAGGTTAGCATGAGTGTGTCTGCATGGTTTAGCGTGTGTATCTGCCTGGGCCACTGCAATAAAGGAAGTGTAAACATTAGAGGAGTCTTTACAGGAAGTGTTTAGGAAGTCTGTGTAAGTCACATGCAGGAATATGTGACTAGGGCTGCACAAACAAAGTGATTTCACTCCTAAATGGCAGTGAATTGAGCAGTGAGAAAACACCGGAACTGTTTATTAAGCTAAAGTTGTTTTGGTCACTATAAGACCCTTTATCTTAAGGCCAAAAAGAGCTATAAAATGGTCTCATTGAGTAATTAGCAATGTATGTGTGTCTGCAAGGGTTAGTGAGTGTGTGACTGAATAGGTCAGTGTGCCTGCATGGGTCAGAGTGCATGTGTGTGTGTCTGTAAGGGTCAATGAGTGTGTGTGTGTCTGTAAGGGTCAGTGAGTGTGTGTGTGTCTGTAAGGGTCAGTGTGTCTACAAAGTTCAGTGAGTGTGTATATGCATGGGTCAGTGAGTGTATGTCTGCATGGGTCAGTGTTAGTGCATGTGTTTGTGTCTGCAAGGATCAGTATGTGTGTCTGCATGGGTCAGAGTGTTTGTCTGCATGGGTCAGTGTGAGTGTGTGTCAGCATAGCTCAGTTAATGTGTGTGGATCTTCACAAAGGTCGAAACAAGTATTTTATAAAGATTAAATCCTAATGAAATACCCACAATGACTGTGTTGAAAGATCATTCAAATTCCAACGTAGTCAAAAGATACACTAAGACAGGGGTAGGCAACCTTTGGCCCTCCAGATATTTTGGGCTACATCTCCCATAATGCTCTTAGATTCATAATGCTGGCAAAGGATTATAGGAGATGTAGTCCATAAAATATGCAGCGCAGAAAGTTGCCTAACCCTGCAGTAAGACAAAATAGGGTCTTGATTTCCTCTTTTAGAACTGCAAGGTTATAGCAATTGATCACCAGAACCTCCTGGCTCAGGCTAGGTAATTATGGTTTCTTATCATCCTCCTCAGACAATCTGAGAGACCTTGAAGCTCAGGAGCTATTTTAGGTTTTGCTCTTTGAATCTGAGTGAACAGATCATCTATGCATCTCGATCCATCCTTCAAAAGTCCTCATTGCCTTTTGTTTTTTTTCTACCCATTATAAACTTGTAAGCCGTTAATAAATAAAAAGAATCAAGGTTTATATGAAAGATTTTGTGAAAAATCTAATAGCATCATGCAATCTGTATTTACAGTGTTGGTTCGTCAATCCTCCCTTCCCATTGACCAGGTCATTTTTGAGTATCATTCTTCAACATAAACACTGCACATAAAGGGCATTGCTGGTCAATATTATCTATTGAATCCTGGTCCCCATGATAAACTCTCCTCCCAAAAGTGGTACCACTTCAGATCACTACTTCTCACAATATATTTTCCACGAAAAGACCCTCTACTCAAGTTAACGATTAGCCTTATATTTCCCTGCCGTAAATCTAAACAACTCAGGGCAATACTCCTCTGTATTTCAACTTATTATTCAGAGTGTTGCTCCAGAACATATCAACTGCCCAACCGATGTACTGTTTCTCAACATACAGAATCTACTCCCAAAACAAAACAATGCTCCTCAACATAACCGCTGCTCATTCACAGTATTTCCTTACCAAAACATTCATCCCTCTATTACTTCTATGCACTTTGAATCCATAAGGAGAAAAGAAAAACACAATCATAAAACAGGAAAAAATAAGGAAGTTAGGAATAGGACTGAAATGAGAGGCTAAGGCTGATAGGAGTATGTTCATCCAAATAGTCATTTCTTTCATTTTATTTCCCAGTTGGTTCTCTTTTCAAGGCATATGAGTTCCTGATCAGAGCACAATGCTTTAAAAAATAAATAATGATAGTAATAAAAAAAATAAATAAAAATTTTTTTATATATATATATTTTTTTTAACATTAAAAAAGAACTTTTACCAACAAAATTATTAACGGGAAACTATAGTGCTAGGAAAACAAAGTTGTTAGGGGTTATCTGGA